AATAAGATCACTGTTAAGTATAAAACACAAAAACATTAAGTTAGCATTAAAGAAATGGATAGTCAATATAGAAGAACCAGGAAGTCTCATTTAAATCTTGTGCATAATATTTAAGATAAAAATAGCTCAAAATGTAGATAGTTTTGTGAAGGAAATATTAACGATTTATTTATTCAGGAGTTTGTTTGTTTGAATTTCGCACAAAGCTACACGAGGGCTATCTGAGCTAGCCGTCCCTAATTTATCAGTGAAAGACAAGAGGGAAGGTAACTAGTCATCACCACCCCCCCGCCAACTCTTTTATCAACGAATAGTGGGATTGATCATTACTTTCTAACGCCCCCACGGCTGAAAGGACGAGCATGTTTAGTGGGACGGAGATTCGAACCCGCGACCCTTAAATTGCTGGGCCTACATATTCGGGATCCACACTCGAGAAATCTTTTGGATATTTTTTTTTTCCATGTTACACATTATTTGCATTTCATGTATTGTGTGCATTGTGTGATAAATTGAATTAAAGTGTGGAGCGCGACCTTACGGCCATTGACCTTCGGGTTCATAGTTCGGAACGCTTTCCACTACAACACGCCCATTTCTTCTTTAGAAATATTTAGTCCTGTGTACCTAAAGTGTTAGTCAGATTTAGGTTTTGTTTCCTAATGCGCACTAATGTTTCTGTTTTATTAATCAAATCCTTAAACATTTTTTATTGCAACAATTAACACAGTAATGACGACATAAATATGATTAAAAGTGTTAGCTATAGAGCGTGAAAAAAAAAACAGATCAGATAACCTTCCCCCACAAGAGAAATATCACCTGTATTTTCTCGCGAATGTGGCCCGGCATGGCCAGGTGGTTACGGCACTCGACTCGCAATCTGAGGGTCGCGGATTCGAATCCCCGTCACACCAAACATGCTCGCCCTTTCAGCCGTGGGGGCGTTATAATGTGACGGTCAATCCCACTATTCGTTGGTAAAAGGGTAGCCCAAGAGTTGGCGGTGGGTGGTGGTGACTAGCTGCCTTCCCTCTAGTCTTACACTGCTAAATTAGGGACGGCTAGCGCAGATAGCCCTCGTGTAGCTTTGCGCGAAATTCCAAAACAAACAAACTCGCGAATATTTTGCGATCATAATCTTTGACCTAATAATTAGATCAAACTCGTCTCTTCTTCGGTATGTTTTTTTTTCTCAAAACAATCAGAAATACATTTTATGAATGCACATTCTTGTTTAAAAGTTGGACATCATGTTCTTGAACGATTTTTTTGTCCATCTGTGGCAACTCGGCGAATGGAGAATTATTAATATTTTACGAATCACAGACACGGTTTTATTTGGCCTACGAAGCGTGTTTTCTAAACATTACCAGTGCATCATCATCATCTTTGCAACTTTACTCCACCTAGTGGCGAGGTGAATCGTTTGCGAACCGACTTCGCTTTTCCCAGGCGATTCACTCATCTCAATAGTTCTCCATCGCTTGAGGATAAATTGACGTCTTGCTCTTGTATTGCATAGCGGGGGTGGAACGGGGACGGTGTTGGAAGATGTAATGAGGGGTATCATTCAAGTCATGTGACACCCTGGAGCAAGGTACGCCAAGGCATATAATTCTAGTCATGTGACGCCCTGGGGCGGTCAGAAAGTGTAACGATCTCTACCTATGAGTTTTTATTAGTGACACTTTACGTAAATTAAACAGTCGTGTTTGTCTTGTTATTGAAGCACTGCTTTATCTTAGAGCTGCCATTTCAAACAGTACTCGAACAACAGTGACCAGGATTTCCGTTTCAGAGACCACAGAGTAGCTATCAATATTGAAGAGCTGAGCAGAGCGAACAAAACTAATCATTAGCACCCACCGCCTACAAGGATTTTCTTAACTGAATAACAGGATTGACTATCACTTTTATAGCACGCCGCGCAGTTGAAAAAAACGCGGCATATCGCAGGCTCGAGCCTCGGATCTTCTGGTCTACAATTCAGCAAGCGAACCATTAGGCTACACCGCCCCGCCCCCCAAAGAAAAACTGGTTGTAAGTGTTCAGCAATTAACATTACCTAAACCATATCTTGGTTAAAAGGTCCGCAAAGTTATATTTCTAGCCTCAAATTCTGGTAGCAGGTGGAAGAAAATTGGTCTTGGGAAGTATCACTTATGTGATAATTCAGTGGTTCCAAAATCTGTCTGTTCCCCGATGGGTTAGCGATAAGTTTACGTAAGTAAACGCTAAAATCCGCGGTTCAATTATGCTTGTTGGACAGAGCTTTAAACAGCCCACTGTGTAACTTTTAGCTCAAGACAAAGGCTTATGTAAAATTGTTACCAAAGGAGTCTTGCTAAGAATAAATCCTGATAATTGTATGACCAAGAATTAAGCCCCCTTTTTAGTAGCCCTTTAATAAGCATTACCTTCGTGGGGGGGGGGGGGCTGACTAAAACTATCGCTTAGTAACAGAGTTTGTTTTGAATTTCGCGCAAAGCCGTCCCTAATTTAGCAGAGTAAGACTAGAGGGAAGGCAGCTAGTCATCACCACCCACCGCCAACTATTGGGCTACTCTTTTACCAACGAATAGTGGGATTGACCGTCACACTATAACACCCTCCAAAGGGCAATCATGTTTGGTGTGACGGGGATTCGCACCCACAGATTGCGAGTCGAGCGCCCTAACCACCTGGCCATGCCGGGCCTAATAACAGTGACCTAGCAAATTGGAGGGCGATATTTGCTTGGAATTAAGCACAATGCTACACAATGGGTTATGTGTGCTTTGCCCACCACGGGTATCGAAACCGGGTTTCTAGCGTTGTAAGTCCGCAGACATAACGTTGTGCCACTGGGGGTGGGGGGTGGTGGTAACTTAGTGATTTTGATTCCGATTCAGAACCAATTTCGTTTTTAATATCAGTTTATATAAAATTATTTAAATTATATATCAAAAGTTAAACTTGGACTTTCTCATCACGTGCCCCATTTTTAGGTAACTATTCATGTAAGAAGTTTAGAATATTAAAGAAAAACATTTCTCATTTGCTGGCATTGATCTGCTTCAGTAAACGAATTGGTCAAAGTCTGCGTTAAGCCTTTTACTTCGTGTCCATCAAAATGGTCACGTCTGACCAGATACTAAACCAGTTTGAATTTAGATATCATACTGGTTTATCCTCCAATACTACAGCTAATAAAAGATCTCTTAGCATTTGGCCAGTAACAACAACAACAACACAAATTATTTATTCATATAATGTGTTGGCCACGAGACATTTAGCATTTAACACATTAAATAAACGGAAATATTTAGTCAATATTTAATTGGCAACTTTCCAAAAAATCAACCTTTCTGATCTGCAGCTGCTTTTAATTTTGTTGAAAATACTTTATTTTGTAGTCCAAACAACTGCCATCTAATCTAAGTTAAAGTAGCACCGAATAATCATCACAACTAGTGGCGATAATAAAGACAAAGGTAAAAAAAAAACAACAAAGAAAAATTACACAAACAGGTAAAGAAAGTAATAAAAAAAAAGTCCCATATTTTAGGAACGGAGTAAATGGACAATTTCCGAGAAAAAAAAAACAAACATTTTACTCTTTTTATTATCACACACATGCGTAAACCCTGTTATGAATTTAATAGTCCGTAAATATGCTATAGTTACTGAAATTATGCCACAAATTAAACTGTCCATACTAAATATATTCAATTGGTTTACAAACTTTACGAGGTTTCGATAATTAGCTTAGGCTTAGCTGTTATTGATACTGTTTTCCAATATACTTTTTTTTACTTATTTATGTAATTTTCTTTGTCTTTTTCACCCCCCCCCCGTTTTTTTATTACCTAGATTCTGTTACAACGGCCCCGATATTTGAAAAACACGTTTCGTAAGAGACGCATTTGTAACACATTGGGCAGGCTTGTGTTTAGAATATATTTTCTCTGATTGTGTGATTTTCAAACAGACCTAATACTCAACGCTGTGATGTCGGAAAGGGATAATATGGACAATAAGCAGAATACAGTAACATGTACCATTGCTTCTAATAAGTAAGTTGTCTCTGCGCAGCGTTCTGCCCTTATTTACAAAGCTCACCGAAAAAGAAATAAAGAAAGTAAATATATATATATATATACAGGGGGAGGGATAACTTCCAGCTCCTCCTAACGGTCACTTATCTATCCGAACAGTGTAATAAAACCATAAGATGCTTAGGTTAAGAACGGATAAGAATGTATTAAAAAATCTGACAGACAGTGCATCCCATAATGCTGTGTAGGCCCACTGTTTTAAGATACCTCTTTTAATAAGGTGTATTTTACTCTTCCCACAGTTTCTCAGAGACGCTCTTTTTCTCTATAAGGTGTATTTTACTCTTTCCACAGTTTCTCAGAGACGCTCTTTTTCTCTATAAGGTGTATTTCACTCTTCCCACAGTTTCTCAGAGACGCTTTTTTTTGTCCCTTAGATGTATTTTACTCTTCCCACAGTTTCTCAGAAACGCTTTTGTTTTGTCTCTGAGGTGTATCTTACTCTTCCCACAGTTACTCAGAGACGCTTTTGTTTGTCTCTGAGGTGTATTTCACTCTTCCCACAGTTTCTCAGAGACGCTTCTGTTTGTCTCTGAGGTGTATTTTACTCTTCCCACAGTTTCTCAAAAACGCTTTTTTGTCTGTTATACAAATAATTGTAATACAATGCCATCAAGAACAAGAAAATACTGTTTTACACTGACTTTTTTTCATATGTTACAATTCCCTGAAGGAGCTGTATAATATTTGTAAACACATATATATTAAAAAAATAAGTTATCTGAGAAGAAAAACTGTCTAGTGTAATTAGTCAACTGTCATGAAATATCGGAAACATTACTTTACATGGGAATCTTCCTGATTAAACAAGAAAATAATCTGAAAAAACAACAACAACACATCAAATAAATATCTATGTATTTTACATCTACACACACAAAAGATGGGCGGAACACTCACCTTCTACTAATGACGTCAGAAGAGTCACGTTGGCAGCTTTCCGTCTTCCTGCTGGAAGATTTAAACCAATTTTCTCAAGTTTCTCACGAAGACATTTCCCGCCATTTTTGGATTTAGCCCTGAAATACGTAAGCTCGATCATCAAAACACGCGAAGAATAATAATATCAAATAAACATGAAATACAATATAATAGTCTACAAATAGATTAAAAAAAAAGGGCTTTGGAGAGAAAACGTGTGAACACTAAAATTCAACATTCTAATTTGATGTCATGGGCTGTATTTTCAATGTTTTAACATTCTAATTTGATGTCATGGGCTGTATTTTCAATGATTTTATTCGCTAGAAGGCGCATTACGTTATGATCATATAAGTTTGTAGGAGTAGGCATGCTAACCAGTAGGCCACACCTAGTCCACTCATAACGTTTTCAATTACGAAAATGAGGCGAAGAACATTTCTGATCATCTGAGTATTATAAAAAAATATTAACATTAAGACCATAATTAAAAAATCTCCATTGTTGATATCAAAATAACAGCATATGTGTTTGGTCATGTTGTTGTTGTTGTTCGCGATCTGGGAGGGTCAGGTGCTTATAAAAATAACTTACAGCTAATCAATACCACCCACCGCCAACTCTTGGGCTACTCTACTAACGAACAGTGGGATTGACCGTCTCATTATAATACCCCCACAGTTGAAAGGATGAACATTTTTTGGGTGGAATGGGACTCGAATCCGCGACCCTCATGTTGCAAATCTAGCTTGGCCCATAATCATGCGTCGTATGTTTACAAAGTAACTGGTAGAAAAAAAAAACGAGAAAAAACGAGAATTTTTTTTTAACACACAGATGAGGTACGAAATGTTTTATAAAATTCGCGGGGTGGCTCGAAAGAAACGGACAAACTAACGGATGGACGACACTGGACATCAGTATCGTAACTTGACACCGTGGTTTTTAAACTTTTCTATTCGATAACCACCCGAAATTTTTATTATTATTATCTCGTCGGACCACAATGGGATCGATACATTGCGCTGTCGCTTAAGACTACAAAAACTGGAAACACGCATATTGTATGTGGTTAAGTTTAAAGGGTATCCAAACAACTGGAAGATTAACACTGACGAGGTTGCTAGAAATATCTTTAGAACCACTTGCAAAGAAAGTGCGTCGCAAATACATAATGTGCACATTACTGTTCGTGTTTATTGAATGTTTTTTTTTAAACGTATATCGTCCATGAGCGTCCGCAGAAATTTTTTCCAGGGAGAGGCGAAGTAGTGAATTGAATAATAATAAAAAAAAGAATTATGTTTCTCATTTTCCAAGTGTCCCCCACCTCCTCTGCGAACGCCCGTGACACATCGTCCCACATTGCTAATAAGAATAGCTTGCCAGAATTACCAGCTAATGTACCCTCTGAACGTACGAGGAAGACATGAGACCCCCCCCCCCCCAGGGAGTGATATAGGGTTAGATCCGAACGAAAACATCTATGTAACTCCCTGCAGGGGGGTAGCGTGTTATTATGGTTATACAGTAGGTTTGGTGACAATCGGTCCAGCAGTTCGACAGCTATAAGCGGACACACGCAGACATATGTCAAAAACTGGTATGGAGATAGGCTGTTAAATATACTGTTAAATCAATATATATATATATGTGTGTGTGTGTATGTAAATTATTCCGCAGCGGGACGATAGTTTAAACATATGATATTGTAAGTTTAAGCCCTTAGGCTTCGCTCCTTCCTCGTTCAGTTGTTTTCCATGACTAGTTTTTCACCTTTGCTGAAAAGATAATTGAAGAGAAGAGATACCCCCAGTGTTTTTGAGGTGATATCACCGAAGTCATCTTTCTAAAATTATACCCCTTGCGAGGGGTGTAATTTGTCTTACCTGTTTCTGGTGTCCTATGCGAATTTAATTATATATATATATATATATATCGTTTGTTTGTTATTTAACACAAAGTTACATAATAGGTTATCTTTCCGAGCACAACTGCCGGTATCGAAACCCGATTTTTATCGTTATAGCCGCTTAAACTTACCATTGAGCCACCGGGGGTGAAAAAAAATACACATATATGTATACGTGACGGACGTTACCGTATTTCAGTTATAAATTTATATTTAACGTTAGCAATTTAATGTTTTTTGTTTGAAGTTAAGGACAAAGCTACACAATGGGCTATTTGTGCTCTGCCCACCACGGGTATCGAAACCCGGTTTTTAGCGTTGTAGGTCCGAAGACATACCGCTGTGCCACTGGGGGGCGGCAATTTAATGAAGCAATATTTAGTATTTTGATATACCCTTAAATCTTATCTTCTAGTCTTAACAATTCTTTACTAACTTTATCCCCCCCCCCCCAATAAGACAGATTTCCACAGTATCTTATTACAAAATGTTACATAAGTAGGGCACGCGGATTTTACACAATCTGTACTTTCATGAAAATAAAAACAATAAAATTTGGATCGGCTTTAATGGCGTGTGAAAATGTGTTATTTCACGTAACTCGGCCAGTTGTTCTTTTGGTAGCCGCAGCGAGACTTCGCGGCGCCACGAGCTTCACGAGATTACCTGCGTGCCAACAATGTGCGTACCACTCACCACCGGTGGTTTAGCTTCGGAGGAATTTGCCCGAGGCGATATCACCGCCAGCCACACCTGCAAGCTTCTTAAGTTGCATCACCTAGGCAACAGGTATAGTGTCGGCAGAGTTCTGAGGCCCTTAATGCTATAATAGTCGTAGTCTGCTATACAACTCATGCGATTGCTCCCTCCTATCTCAGGTTATCTGCAGTTTTTCTGAAGCCTCTGACGCATTTGATATATATATATATAGCTTACTCAACGTTGTAGGTCACTTGTGTATAGAAGTGGCTGAAATATATGTGTCACAAACTTAAGTGTATGTGTACAATCAGTGTTATTTTATACATTCTAAAAGTTACAACGAACCGGTTACACATTTCCACCTATGTGTATAGTTATTAAAAAAAAACACGCACACACAAAAAGCCCAAACAAACATACACAATGTATAATGGCTGGAGGTACCTGATAAAACCTTGTCGAAACGTTGTACATTTGCTGTTATGTTAAACTTATATTAAAGTTTTTTCTTCGTTACCCATTCAAGCCGTCTCCAGCCATTATTAGTCTCAAAGTGGGTTCCTCGTCACCGAATTTGAATACACAACGTATCTTTGTTGTTGAGTTACACGAGGAATTCGGACCCGTATAACAGTAGGGATACACCGTTGATCATATTTAATCTTATTCTACAGGCTTCACATATACATGTTTGTTATTTAAAAACCGTCTAACCTTCTCCTACTTACTCTCTCTAGTTGTAGTCTCAAGAACATATTGTAACACTCCCATTTTCCCAAGTTTCATTTTTTTTCCACGCTGTCCCATCTATTCCTTTCAATGCTGTATTTGTTTTTACTTCAAACATTTTCTCCGGATCTAAACTACTTCCCTATTGTCGTTCTAGTCCTTTACGTTTCCAAATTTGACCATTTTAAACAATCTGTTTACCGTTTTGTTTCTGTTTACTCGTTGTCTTTTGTTCTCTCGTTTATTCCTTGAAATTTTTCTTTTTCTTCCCCGATTGTATCTGCTCGTCTATCTTTGTCGGTTGTGCTACTTCCCGACCAGTTAACTTGAAAAAAACGGCATGATACGTGATAAAATCTCACCACCACCACGCATGTTTACTGTAGCCTTGCGCCACAAAGCACAACAACCGTTGGTAACTGACTTTTTCCATGGAGTCCCGAGTTTTATCTCACGACAACAAAGACCCGTTAAAAGCCTTTTTTTTTTTAACTAATTAACGAAATGTTATGATTATACAAATACTTTTATTCGATAAAGCAGAAGAAGAAAATGGCGTAGAAACTGTATCAATCAGTCAGCTAAGACCGTTTTCACTTCAGGATAGTGTGCGTTAATGTTTCTGCACTCCACGTTAACAACTGGCAACCGCGCCGAATTTATATAGGGAGAAAAATCTCTACTGTCACGTTGCATGTGCTGTATAGGGAGTGGTTTCTTTTTGTATATGTGAGCTCAGCTGCTCCAGGGCTGTATGCGCTAGTCGTCTCTATCTTGAACAGAGAGACTAATAATAAGGCAGCTAGTAAACAGCATCCACCGTCAACTCTTGAGCTACGCTTGCCTTGCCGAACAGTTAGATTTGACAGTGGCTTTTATAACGCATCCACGGCCCCATAGTGAAGAGCGCGGTTTTTCTCTCTCTTTTTTTTTTCATTTCCCTGCAAGTTTATGGACTTGCAGCGCTAAAATCCAGGGTTCGATTCCCCGTGATGGACAACAACAATTTCTCTCTTATTCGATGACGAGGAACTCACTTTGAGACTAATAATGGTTGGAGACGGCTTGAATGGGTAATGAAGAAAAACTTTAATATAAGTTTAACATAACAGCAAATGTACAACGTTTCGACAAGGTTTTGTCATCATCAGGTGCAAGTAATTTACACTGACAAGGATATATATATACAGTATTGAACAAAGAAGTCACATGACCGGATACTGTTGCAAAATGTGGAAGAGGTATCTTGGCACCCCGGGGTGTTGGTTTAGAGTAGGGTTGTTTTGTTCAATTAAGACGGATTCCTTGATTTTTCATTTGTTTATGTTTGGTTCTTTGTTTAAAATTACTGTGTTTTTAATAGATATACTATGGTTTTTTGAGTTGC